GGTTCATCCGGTGTTTCACATCTCCATGTTGAAGAAATGCATGGGCGATCCTTCATTGATCCTACCAACTAAAAATATTGGGAATAAGGATAGCTTATCTTATGAGGAGATTCCTGTTCAGATTCTAGATCGCCAAGTTCGCCAGTTGAGAACAAAAGAGGTAGCATCAGTTAAAGCCCTTTGGAGGAATCAATTCATTGAGGAAGCTACTTGGGAAGCTAAAGAGGACATGGAGAAGAGATATCCACATCTCTTTGAGTCCAGAGAAAATGCAGACCAAGGTACTAATTCTCTTCTTAGTACTCTTGAAATTATGAGTGATCATGTTGTTTGTTTGCATTGCTTGTTGGGTGTTGGAACTTGATGTTACCACCCTTAGCCTAGTAAGATTGAGAGAAGAGAAAAGAAGAGGAGAAAAGAGGTGAAAGGAGAAGAACGTTCAAGATTCGTCAAGATTGTCGTGTTTGGCTTGTGGATTTCACCGGGGGTGATCCCTACAAGGTATGTGAAATCACATAGCGTTGGGTTAATTCGCCCACGCGCCAATCATGATTTATTTTAGCAAATTTAAGTTCTTGAAAGCTTAGAAACTGAGTTCTTGAATGGGTTTGTTGAAGTTTTATTAGATTCTTGTTTCATTGAATTTGTTGAGGAGTTGTTTGATCCTAATCTGTGATTTTAGGTTCGATTTTGAGTAGAATATGATGTACTTTGAACATTTAATCGATTCTAAGTGTTGGGTAAAAGAACCCAACAGAGTTTAGAGGGTTTAGAGCCAAAAAATGAAGAAGAGATTTAGGGTTTTTCGTTTCACATCAACGTCACGGAGCTGGTTCCCAATTTTGGGATTTTTCATTTCACGTCGCGGAGCCGTTACGGAGTCTTTTGCCTCAAAAGTCATTTTCGAAACTAAAAATAAAACATGTCTCGGCGTCGCGGACCCACCTTCAAATCTTGATTTTTGGTCTTTTCTCATGTTTAGCTATCTAAAATTATTCCTAAACAACATGAGATCTTTCCAAACCCAAATCTTAATCCTTGAATACATAATTCAATTCAAGGATCATTTAAGAGTCAAGTCAAGATCAGTTAATAGTCAACTTAATATAAGGTCT